TATATAGCAAATTTTCAAGTGATAAACCCAACGTAAACGCTTCTCTTCAAGAAACCGGATTTCCTTAGTAAACGAGAACACCTAGATATTTTTTTAGATTTTGTTACGTTAGAGTAGTGTGATACTCTTAAATACCTTATTAATAGCGGACTAAATGAGTAACAAATTTGTGAGTATCTAAAATAATAGAATAGCCAGATCGAGATCAATAATATGATGCCTGCCATTGCCAACAATAACGAGAACCTACATCCCACAACTAGATATCAGCGTAAACCTCAATAATTAACGATGAACTACAGTTAAAATGGCAAAGAAGGAAATGCAAAGGAAAACGATGTTTTGGGGAAAACGCCGACGCAACTTACGCGCCAAACGATATACCCACTGCAATCATCGGTGCGTTTGGATATCGGTATCGAATGTGATCGAAAACCAATGCAACGTCAGAGGTATTCGAGGCGCAGTAAGCTCGGGGAGTCTAATATTTAATGATAAACATGTATTCGAATTCCGCACACCTTCAACTTCCGTCGACATGTTCCACGATTGTTAAAAACGACACATCTAAATTGCATAAAGCATGAAGAATTGCCTCACCTGTATTTGCATTCATTGATTCCTTTCACAATGCTTGTAATATAATCGCAGCAGCCGCATCCAGTCAAACCGGGTAAAAGGACAGCGATGGGAGTATCATCAGCCATTCCATCAAAGTTAACCCACGAAAGCGTCACTTCCCCGCCATCTGCAAGGTCCACAACCTCTCTATGGAATGGTACAATATTCAATACCAAGTCGTACTCATCGTAGTTACACCTTTCCGCACGATGAAATATAGATCCAAGTATCGTCTGCACTCGACCAGTATAGCCGAAAACAAATGGCGAATACACTTCACTCAGGAAAGGAACGTGAGAACGAAAAAAATCCATGAGTTTTCCACAGTGGCCATACAGCACGGGAGGCTAATCAAGCAGATAGATAAATTGATGGTGGAGAGTACCGAGCGGACAGCGAAGAAATAATAGGTTATATAAGCCCCAAACAAACTGATTAAGGCAGCTTTCGCACTTAACACCTCCAAAATTGATACCATTTCAGAGGACTAATCGCCGGCACTCGCGGATGCTCACATAAACAAAAGTCACGAATACCTCAACCCTAGCTTTGGAGCTAAAGTTAAACAAGTGATTTGAGTATCAACGTACTTTAATTTATAATAATAGCGATGTTACTACTGCAAAAATGAATAATTGCAATTTAAACGTTGAACAATTTTAATTCTCTTTAAGGTTCCGCTGCGGCCCGAGAATTCGCACCATGTAGAAAATAGCATCACGTCGAACGGGCTACATGCATGGTAAGACCTTGACTCAGTCCTGGATCCCTCTCCCTCAAACACCAACTGGAACGGTTTTCCTACATGCGCAGCGTATGGCATTGCAGATATGCTGAATAAACAGTATAGGTGTAGATAAGCGATCGTACCCAAGTAAAGGATTAAGAAGAGCCAGTTATTCCTTCTAGCGTAATGTTAGCTTTTAAATACTCGCTTTGAACTCAAGCTTACTTACAAAATCATAAATGAATAATCCTGCGGTGTGCTTACAACTTAATCATCATCAAGGGTAAAAATGTACCGAATGCATTGAATAACGAAGCATTTTCGTAATGCTCTGTTTATAGTGACTACCTGTCGTTTAGCAGTCATTTTAGCATTTGTCTGGCCCTTGCACACGTGGGCTGGCCTTCGGGTTATTCTAATTTCCATTTGCACGGTCAGCTTCGTAATGGAACTTCCTGCCGGGTAGAGGGAAGTAACTGGGGCTGAATACATGTATTCTTGGGAGAACAAAGTCATTAGGCCTTAGCTTGGCCTGAAGGCCGGCCCATGTTGTAATGCTTTGTTTATGTGACTATCTGACGTTTGGCGGTTACTTTAGGACTTGTCTGGGTC